TATATATATATATATATATATATATATATATATTTATGTCTAAACACTGTAATACCCATTCACCCACTGATTCTCAAAACCATGGCAACAGAAGAGCAGAGGTCTCAGCCTGAACATTGCTAGCAACATCCTCCATATGGTCCTCAGGGACTCTAAAGGACTACAATGCATCGTCTGAGAGAGTCCAGGGTCAAGCCTTAGTCCTTCGCCCATCTGCTTATAATACAGTAGCTTTCTCATTCAGAGAAATGTTCCAACTGCAGTTTAAACTTCTTTCAGCAAGTTGAACATTCAAGTTTTTATTTCATCCATATTGGTTTGCATTATTGTATTGATGTTACTGTCAGTGAAAAGAATTTCACCCTTTATGTTTAAATGTTTTATAATAGATGACACTTTTCTGTTACTTTTGCAGTTTATGGTTAAATTGAAGCCAAACAGACTTGTACAAAACATGTATGAGCAAAGCTCCTGTTGAGCTGACTAATGTACTTAAATAAACATATGTTTATTAAATTTAAAGTTGGCTCCATCCAGTGTCCCAACCTTTTAACAAAACAATGTACCATCAAATACTGGTATTTGACATAGTAGCACTAATTGTAATACAGTGGAATCCGCTTATAGTGATCACGTTGGTCCAGAGATAATTTGAACACTATAGATGGTTGATTACTACAACCGAATTTACCGTTATTTCACTTATTTTTTATGCAGGATATCATCTAAATGCCATTTGTATGGTTTTTCAATGAGAAAAATGAAATGAATCGGATAGTTTCTGCATTTAATGAATTTTATTACAGTACCGTGCAAGTTTAATTACAGTACACTGCGCTGTACGCAGACATAACTCTGGGAGCCCACGTAACTTATTATGTGCTGTGCGTTGGCTGTGCCACTGGTGCATTTTTTCAACATGTCTGAAAATAAAATTTGAAACAAACGGTTTCATAGAACAACAACATGGAAGATAACTGCATAGGCTACAGAAAAATAAAGCTAGCCTACCTCTGTTTTGTGTTACTGATAGGCTGGGGCGCATTAAGAAATCACTTAACATATTTATCCATGGTTCCCTGGCTCAGAGTGCTGTCCAAGACCGAGTTCAATTCTTTTTCAAAACGATGTAAAAGCTCAAAGTTTTTGAAACCAACATGCAGGAGACCAGTCTTTAAAATGCAAACAGCATTTGTATAGAAAGGATTCTGTCCCAATTCTTTTGATCTATATAAGCGGTTGATTACTATATTCGAGACCAGTGTAAATAAATCTTTACTATACATAAGATGTATTTTTCATTTGTGTATGTAAATGTATACAGATTTCTTTTGAGCTATTTATACATGTGCATTTCTTTTTTTTATTTTAGATAATGTTGATAAAGACTGACTTAGCAGCGGCTTTCACATCTTCAGAGGATTATAAACACATTTGAGATCTTCAATTGTTTATTTTTTACAAATATACATAATGTTTTTGTTAAACAATTTCATATTTTTTCATAGATGCTTGAAAATCAAGCAAGCTGCTTTCTACTTAATTTAGTTACATATTTCAAATCCTATATTAATTGTTTTTTGTTTTTTTTATAGTGAGACCAGATCTGGACTGGATATAATTCTAAAATGTTTTTAAATAACATTGTTTGTAATGAATAATTACTATAATTAAATTGTAATATCTAATAAAAAAAAGCATGATTTTGAATGTACTGCTTTTGATTTAAAGAAAGTCAGCTAACAAAACACTGGTGGCTTCCTTCCCTTTCTGTACAGAATGTTGGAATGTTGTAAGGCATCTCAAATGTTGCAGAAGTAATAAACACCACTGAGGCAAGTGATTCTGCTAAATGCAAAAGCATAATGGTCATTTAATGAAGGTGGAATCCATAGAGGGATCAACTTTTTGACCCGTTTTAACTTTACAACACATATATTTATGGTAAAAATAGGCATGCCACCTTTTAATTATTTGGTTGTAAATAATCAGCTGATTACCATTACCATGTTTTCTTACCTCAAGTATACAATACAACACACTGCAGCTAGTTTAATAAACAGATGTATAAAGTGCAAAATTTCCAACAATTTAAATGGGTGTTCTTGTTTTTATCCTTTTTTAAATGAAAATTCAGAAGGTAAATCAGTAGCTGAAAGTAGGGCTTGAGGTAATTATAGTCAGTAGCTGTAAATTCTTGTAATGTTGAAACATCTGTGTGAAAACAGTATTTTTACCCATGGCTAATTATGATGTGGGTTGTTATTTCTTACTATACTAGAGGATATATGCTTTTCCCACAGGAAGCTTTGGTTTGAGTTCTCATTTCTCTATTCCACCCAATAATGAGGAAAAAGTTCAAACAGGTTTTAACTGACTGTGTTTGGAGGTCCGTTACACCTCAGAAATGCCAAAACACAGCAATGTTAGTTTTGCCTGTAGCTATTCCTCACAATGCACATCTTGACTGACACCACTGCCTGTTGTTTATTTTACTTGCCTTTACATTGTACAGCAGATTAAGGAAAAGGTGTCAGTCTCTCTCTAACAGCTCTGTCGTGCCTTCATTAGCGTGACAGTATTTATGTGTTTATTCTGTAATACTCCCTGCAGATGAGGTCTTCCTGCAACAGCTCCTCTTTGTTGTCCCACTCACTGTCCTCGTTTACATTCCGGTACAGGATAATTACCCATGACAGTGACACTGCTCAGCCTTGTGGAACTCGAAGATGGTTTAAAATGTCCTTTGATAAGAACTTCTTGTCTGGATTTACTCCAAAGTTGGTAAATCAAAAAACGAGCGAGGAAAGGCAGGAAGTGCCTGTACTCATTTCTGCCATTGCTTAAACAGGAGCCTGGAGGAGTAGACCCACCTCTAGCTCAATGAGCCATGACTGTTTAATTGCCTGACATTCTGTCAGAGCACAGACCCTCGAAGCTCTGGGAGAAATGGAGATTTTAAAGTCCAAAGAGGGATAAAGGCTTGCACGGTGTCAGACTTAGAGGCACATTAACGATAAGGAAGGAGTTTTTAATTTGACTTTTGTCGCAAGTTCTATCCTGGTAAATTACTGTGGTTTTCTGAAAGAGGTTCCTTTTCTCTCCTTGATGTAAAACAGTTTTTTTTTTTTTTTTGAGCAAATGCATATATGATGCAATAAGAAAGTAATGAAAGCAAGGCACCAAAACCTGACAATAAACCAACAGTGTTGGAAACAATATTTGTTATGTTAAACCATAGATGCATGACACTTGGCTCATCAACTGAGGCTGGACTCTATTTTTGCATCACTCTCACAACTGTTTTCTTGAATTAGGTATTTATAGCTGTAGGACTTTCTATTTGAAATTAAAAAAAAAAAAATCTTCACAAAAAAATCTTAATTAAAATGCTGTCAGACTTGAATATTAGTCT